ACTTACAACAAGACAATTCCTTATATCATTTACCATGTCATTTTCTGCGACATCCGGACGTCGTCATCCCGTCCACAAGTGGCATTTTGCCAACACCTTTTTTGGCCTTGCTTACTCGTCCGACGCTAAACTTTTAGGAACGTTGAATATTTCAAGTTTTTAGCTGAGAGAGAAGACCATGTTTTTCGACCAACATAGCGTGCGATTGAGAATGCGCTCTCACTGGGGACTGAGGTCGCGGGTATAGTCAGAAATATATCCTTGAAAAAGGAAAAGGCGGGGAATCGAGGAATTGACTCAGTTCTGCTGACAGCTCCTCAGTTTTTAGTGGGTACCTAGTAGAAACCTACCATCATTTGCCCGGGGAACATTCGGAATAGAGGTGACACAGAGTGTATAGTCAGAAGTATATGCGTGAAAAAGGTAAAAAGCCGGGGAATCGGGGAATTGACTCAGTTCTGATGACAGTTCCTCAGTTCCTACTGGGTACCTAGAAGGAACCTACCATCATTTCACTAAGCAACTTACAGAATTGAGGTGACGCAGACTGTATAGTAAGAAATATTTCGTGGAAAAAGAAAAAAACCCGGGGATTCGACGAATAGACTGAGTTCTTCCGACAGTTCCTCAGTTCCCACTGGGTACCTAGAAGGAACCTAACATCATTTCAACGGGAAACTGCGGAATCGAGTGCGGAATCAAACTGCGGAAAAGTCGCATTTTTTGCCATGCTTTTGTACGCAGCTAGTGTATCTAGCATGCACAAACGGTTTATCATGTGAACGTTGTTATTTGGATTGCCAAAGAAACGAAAATAGAAATATAGGTAAGAATTGCAGCGTTATTATATTTTACTAGGATACGAATTCAATACTGTTTGTGTTTTAGCTAATACTGGTCAAGAAAAGCAAGCTAAAAGAATGACCGCACGAGCTCTAACTCTGTCAACATTACGTATAAGTGATAATGTGCGCATGAAAATACCATCAGTTGATAGATCTCGTGTCGATCCTTTGACAATATTAGGTAATGCTCACTTTTTCATTGTACAATATTTTCAACTTTTGTGTCTGTTGGTCTATCAGTTTCAATTAGATCTAAGCCTTTGTTTTTTTTCAGGTGTGGTCGTCAATGTAAATCATAATGGTTTACACACTATTGGTTGTCGTGGTGATACTATTAGCACAAAATATAATCGAAAAGATCTTGAACATTGTGAAATCGTTTTAAAACCAACTGCAGTAGATAGTACGTCATTACCACTTCGTTCAATTGTAGCTAATGAATCATTAGTTGGTGGTCAAGAACTTTTTCATTGTAACTATCGTCGCGGTTGTGAAACCAACAGGTGTAAATGCAAAAAGAGCTCTGTTTCATGTAACTCTCGTTGTCATTCATCAATGCCATGTAAAAATAAAACATAATTTGTTGTCTACATAATTCCTTCGTCATTATCAATTAGCAAACTACATTTTAGTCATAGTCACACTGGATCCTATTTTCGTTTTATTGTAAGATCGTCGATCATAAAATCACATTCTTTGCAGTACGCTCAATAACAAAAGAAACCCAGGAATACTTTTCAAATGGACATTGCCATTATGATCATTTCAGTTCTCATTCGCAGTGTTGCCAGTTTGCTGTTACACACTGGAAAGACTTACCGTATAGCATCATGATATATATTCCGTTCTGGGTTTCTTCCGCAACCACCACGACGGCTCATACATTTTCTCGTTTGCTGACGCATGTCTTTACATGATGTTTCGTCCAATATACCTAGCTCATGGAATTTGGCTTATCTGAGAAAAACTCGATTTTTTGCATGCCATGAATGCTCGTTCTCTTTCTGTTTTCTTCTGTTATTCGACGGATTCGTTGCATAGGTGTGTGTAGCACGAAGAAATTATCAGGGAAGTGAGTTTATGAATAATGTAAGGAAGTTGGCAGATTGGTAGTATTTTTGTTGTCCGTGAACAAAAACATATCTGATCGAATTGGTCGAAGAATCTAAACTATTTCTTACATCTCCTCCGAACATGCACATCAACTGGCATTCTAATTTCTCATCCATCCTCTTCATCCTCGTACATGTTCACTCATCCCTAACCGTAGTCACTTCTCCGCATATTTCTCGTGGTGCAAAACTATCACTTTCGTTCTCTTTTTCTGCATCCTCACTTTCTAGAACACCGACCACAGGTAGTCGTGGTCGTTGTCGATCTTTATTTTGATAGAAATAAGCGCTAAGGGCTCCAGCTCCGTTGAATACTCCGCTTCCTTACCATATCGTTGAGAAGCTGTTATTTACAACTGTTTTCAGTCCTTCTCTGCGACATTGGTGATCAGTAGCACCAGTGGAAGTCACATGAAATCATAGAAGCATTATGTTGGAAACACTAGCGGATGCAGAAAAAGAGAACGAAAGTGATAGTTTTGCACCACGAGAAAGCTTGTTTTAAATCAAAAGAAATATCGACAATTTTTTCACGATCATTTGGAGATTTGAAGCTATTGTCAGTATAGAAAAACTAACGCGTTCATAGCAAAGGAGTTTGAACGAAAGCCAAACTAACATTTTGATAAAAAGTATGCAGTTGACAAAACAGGCATTAATTGCCTGTTTACCAGCTTTTTCAAAAACTTTACTCGCATTACATACTAAGGAAATTAGCTTTTAGCAAAAAGTTTACCCTCTCTCTTATGAACGGCCTGAAAAAGGCGATGAAGGAAGAGGTCCAGATGAAGTGGAAAATGTGTCTGATGATCAGACAATTGAACCTGTTGAAGTTTTTCTCTGTCTTGTTTGCTTATTATTTATTGATGTTTCGAGAATAACGTTGTTTTCATCAGAATGAAGTACAAGTGAAATTATACCTATATATCCAACTGTAAAATTTCTTAGATACACACACAGACCTACACGTGTGTTATCTAGTTTATCTAGTTTATCGTCGTCACGCTAATGGCGTGTTTATATATAGGTATAATATCATACATGATAATAACACTCATACATACCTATGCGTCCTACACATACAAGTATAGATGCGCCTTGATAGCAGAATTGAAGGATTCGAGAATTCCAACATACCAGGATCCCGAAAGTTGATATGACTCGAGTTCTCCCAAATATAAGATTTTATTATGAAGAGAAAGAAACAAAGCGTAGAATGAGTTATGCTTTATAAGGACCGTGACTACTTCTAATTTCAAATCCTTGATTCTGAACCGTCTGTATAAGATACGACCTAAAAGTATCTGTATATAATATTTATTTTTATTATACACTGATAAGTGAGTGAGGGTTTTTGACTTTATATGACGATATATTAATTATATTAATTACTAAATAAATTACATTGTAGATAGAAAACTTACTTCCTGATAATGTAGTTGCTGAATACTATTTTTCTCAAAAAATTAGCAAAAACGACAAACTAACTTGATAATTATATTCGGATGTTTGATGTGCAACGATGGAATTTAAACGTCTGAAACATAAAAGAATTGCAGACTCGCTTGAATCATCAATAAAAATATATAGTATAAATACAATTCAACAGAAATTATTGATCGAAAACTTCATATCACATCAAGCAAACTGATAGGCGAGGCAAGATTTATGCGCCGAGCTATTCTTCATGTATCAATGGTTGGGTTTCTCGGAACAAAGGAATATAATTTAATATCTCAAGCGGACAATGTCACTACAGCTTTTTAGTATTCGTTCTAATTTATGTACTGCTGTTTTGAGCAAATTCCGTTAACCGTCTGGGTCAATGTCATTACAGAACTCTACCATGTCGTTATCACAACGGCTTCTAAGTGTGGTCAAAAGTCGTTTAATTATGATGCATTTATATAGAGAAAGAAACTTCACGTCATTTTTACTACCGAACGTAGGCGAAACAAAAACAGAAAACATTATGGAGAAAAAGAAGTCACAGAAGACGTTTGTTTGATTCAGTTCCGACTCGCCGACAAGTTAATTAATTTTCCCTTTTCGTCGACACTTTATAGTGTCGGCGGCTCACTAACATATTTCATCTCCCCGCCCTAATGTTGTCGACGAGTCACGGAAAAAATTAATTAGTCGGCACATCGGGACGATACCATCCGTTTTACTTATATATTTATAAAGACAATTTCATTCATTTTCTTCTAGCGTCCGTCACTTTTTAAAATTTTGACCCCTGATGAAGTCTAACTTTTGATAAACGAAATTTCTACTTTTATTTTTAAATAGTAATGGTACGTACTAAAGTTAGCCAATTCGTGCATTTAAAAATCCTACACTATTAAATAATAGCATTGTGAACAATAATCATAAAAAAACGCATAATTACATATCATGGCTCAAAGAATTCTTGTATGTCTTGTCAAGTCAAGTGGAAGAGGAAAAAATCAAACATTCGAAAAGCGAGAGAGTCAATTACTTCACAAATATGAAACTATTTGAAAATGAACTTAATGTAAGCATATATAGATAAACGACTAGAAACTCCTAAAGTAATCTTTGTTCCATGAAGTACAGACGGATACCAGTTTTAATCTTTCATTAAAAAAAACTCAAAATACTGCGCACATACACTACGCACACTTTTCTGTCCTATTTGTTTTTCACTGTGTGAACAAGGTGGAAAAATCAGTTTAGCAGTTTTCAATACAGGGATATGAGTTAATGAAAAAGGATGCATAGATATCACCGCAGGAAACGGGCCGGTTGGAGTAGATGAAGGAATAATAGACAGACGTACTATGTACTATGACTGTATAGCTAGTGCGAAAAAAAAGCACAACTTATCCCTAAACGAGAAATTTTATTATGTTGTTATTTATCCTCTTATTATTAATTATCCCTAGTATGCATATCGATGAATCTGATGAATATGTTAGCCAATTCGTGCATTTAAAAATGATGACGATAGAGAAATGTTGTAACTTAACAGACTTAAGTGGAATTAATCAAAGCCAATGGTTGATTTGTGATGTTCTGTTAAGAGATTGTGAAGCAGAAGAAGACGTTAATGACGAATAATAATGCTAATAAGATTTCTATATAAAAAGGTTTAGGACAGTCTTTCTTATGCATTGTTTTCATACTTTTGATTATTTGTCATCGAATGTTGTTGTCTGTCTGCTTTTGATTTACGACAACGTTGTTGGTTTATTATTGGCTGCTCGTGAAGACGATTTAAATCTTTTACCGAAATAGACCAACGTTTCGTTCGTTTCCGAACTCGATCGTTGGCTTTCATTTGGTAACATAGACCTTTTCGTTTAAGTCTCTCTCTATATCTTTTTGTCCTTTCTGCACCTGTTATAGCCATTTAATCACTAAGCTACTAAGGTCTCCAATGAAAAGAACTTAAAATGTTTAACGAACGATGGATTTTGTACCTGGAATAAATAAGAATTTCAACAACTGCAGCCATCAGATGTCCAGTTCCAAAGGCAACCGAAAGAAGTCTATATCTCTCAACAGAACATCACAAATCAACCATTGGCTTTGATTAATTCCACTTAAGTCTGTTAAGTTACA